GAGGAAAAAAAATGAACTAAAAAAAGAAGTTTTTCACTTTTTTGTAAGTTAATATAGGAATGGGAAGATAAAAAGCTACTTACTGAACCTCAGAGGCCTTGTGCACTTGAGTCCCAAATGATTTCTGTGACTTGTCAGGGCTATAGACTACAAATCAGCGGAAATCCCCCGTTTCTGTGTGTGCAGCTTCCTCCGGCCCTTCTGGACATGCGGGAGGGTGGCTGCAGAGCCCGCGTTGGAAACCAGGCCTGTGTCTTCTCCGCCCCGCATCTCCTGACAAGCTGAAAGGAAATTGTGTTTTTAACTGTGAGCCGCAGCCCCGGCTCGCTCTGCCATCGGAGCAGCGATTCGGTGTGTCGAGACGGGTGGTGTCCCAGGAGAGCAGGCTCTCCCTTGGAACAGGGAGTGTCCGGGAGCGTGGGACGGCAGCGGTTCCGCGCAGCCTGCGGCGGGGCGGCCGCTCCGGGCACGTTGTCCCGGCCGCGATCCCGGCGCTTGGAAGAGCAGAGCCCGGCAGCCGGGAGGGAGGAGAGCTGCGAGCACCTGTGGGAAGGGGAGAACATCCTCCTGCTCTGGGCTGGGCCGTGCAAGGCGGCAGCTCCGGATGTGTCACCGGCCCCTCTAAAGTCCTGAAGGCTGGTTCAGCATTCCCAGGAATCCCGCGAGTCTGGCACGTTTGCTGCTCCTGCCCGCTCATCGGGAAGCCTGAGCAGAGGACACAACCTGTTCTCTTTTTCCCTCCCATCTTGTCTTTTTTGGGACCCCCTGGTAGAATTGAGCTGTTCTTTGACGACGTTTGGCATGTGCAAGGCTAGCAGTAATACGCAGCGAGTATGAAAACCTGAGTCAACAAACAAAACCAAAGTGCAGTCCTTAACGCGGGTCTCTGCGTTTTTCATTTCAAACAGCAGTTGCTGGGTTGTTTCTCTTTGAGTCTCGGTGCAAAGAGAAACGCCCCGTGCAGAACTGCGGGGGCTTTGGGGGGCTGCTTTCAAATAGGGGCTCTGCCTGCTCGGGCACAGTGCGAGGGCAGAGAGCGGGTTCCTGAAGCACCAGCAACACGAGCTGCACTAGTATGATGAGGGGCTTGGTCCTTAACCTGAGCCTGCTGCTTTTCATCCCAGAGCTGCTGCTTCCAGGCGCTGCCCTGGGGCCGGGAAGCGATTCCCCGGAGCGCCATTCCCATGGGCATTGAGAACTCTTGGGATTTTCTATGTAGCACAGGGTGGATCCAAGAGGACTCTGCGTTTCCAGTGTTGGCAGTTCTGAATTGTGGTCCCCGCAGTGCTGGGAGAACACAGTCAGCATTTTGGTTTTTTTAATTAAATACCTCTGCGTTTGAACTTGACACACGGCTCCCTCCCCGCTCCTCAGGGAAGTGCGGGCAGCCGACGGCTCCCGCGGGCCGGCTCCGCATCCCGGCCCGGCGCTGCAGCCCCCTCCGCTCCCTGCCGGAAAACTCGGCACCGCGACAGCCGCAGGGCTGCGGCTTTGACACCCGGCGATGGAAATCGCTGCAGAATCACGAGTGTGACAAACATCGAGGGCGATGCTTGATTCTCATTATGCCGGGGCGAGGTTTTTTATCCAAATGCTATTTTATAAGCAGAAACACTGTAATAAAGAAACCTTCTTCCATATGCTTTCTACAAAGCCGTGTCATTAAATATTTAATTAGAATGACTTATTTTTATTCTCTTCTCCACAGGTTCTGTATGCAGAAGAGTGTCAGACTGGTGCCAGGAGTCACGCTGGATTTAATAGAGAAGTAAGGCAAATTTTATGATTTTTTTCCATTGCTCTCAATTTCCTGGTTATGTCCCATATTTCTCTTGCTTGTCTGAGAGGAAATTTCCTTGGAGAGCTTTTCCCAGAGCCTCTAACTGCAGTGTTTGCCATTCGTTTTCTCCCGGTGCGTCGACCAAGCAGGCAGGGTGGTGGAAGCCAGGGCCGCGCGAGGCTGCGCCGGGCTCCGCTCGGCAGGAAAACATGGAGCAAAAAGGCTGCTTTTCCCTCCTCGCTGCGCTGCGGTGCTGCTCTTTGCCACTCTGCTGTTGTTTTTCAGACTTAATACTGTTGGTACATACCATAATCCTTTTATCCAAACAGTATTTGACCATAATTACTGGTTTGTAGGCAGCTGAGGCAAGCTCATAAAGAGCAGCAATGGTTCTTATAGATCTGCCGCAGTTTATATGAGAGGGCCGGGCTGCTGCAGAGAGAATCCAGTGTTTGTCCTTTGTAGTTGTGTCTCTCCCCAACCCGTAAGGACGAGCGCCTCTCTGCAACCCGAGATCTTGCCCCTTCCCAAGGACTTGTGCATGTCCCGTCCTGCTGGTGCCCACACACACAGCCTGGGCTCTTTGGTGCGAGTGTTGAATGGCCCTGAAGATAAAAGCTGCCTTAAAAATCTGCAAAAAATCCTGCAGGATGGTATAACTTGATGTAGGGACGGGAAAACGACACTGGGTGCTGTGAGACAGGGACACAGGAGGATGTGAAATCCCTGTGACCCGAGAGCTGTCCCTGCTTTGGCACGAGGCTGTCCCAGCGCCCGCAGGAGCAGGTACCCGAATCCACCCGGGCTCTTGCTCTGGGACCCGCTCTGCAGACCCTGCTCCAGCGTGGCCAGGGAGCAGAGCCCAGCCCCAGGCTGTCCCCATGCAACAGCCATTTGTAACAGCCGCTAAAAATACCAAAACTGAGACTAGAATTACTCTTGTTCCCATTTTAGCTATTAGGGAATGTCATGGACTGGAAATTATTAATGTTTCAGTGTCGGTTGGTTATTGATGAGCAATGATTCAGTTGGAGCCAATTTAGAGACGCAGTAGATAAAATCCCAAGGTACCGTGCAACAGAAATAAAGTAATTGGCAAAAATGTGGGAATTAGGCTGCGATATAGCAGACAGCCTCCGCACAAGCCCCGAGCGCCGTGCCGGCTGCTCCCGTTGCGCCGGGAGAGCGGTGGGAATGCCGGGGCTGGGAGAGTCTTTCCTCCAAGTGATCCCTGGTCAGGGCCCGTGCTGGCCGGGTGGGAATAGCAGCTGTGCCATGTCCTCCTGCTGACTCCGAGCGTGCCCAAGTGACCTGTTATTGTGCCAGGAGGGATCTCCCTCAAAGCAGGCGTGAGGAGCGGAGGGCCCTGGGCTTTGGGGTGATCGGAGCCAGCTCCCGCACCCCGGCTTCCCGGGAAGTCCGACTTGGAGCGAGGGCATCGCCCTGGAGAGGAGTTGGTTATAGCGTGGAAAGTCGCTGGAAACGACACATGGTTTGGAAAAATCCAGAGGACAAAACCGGTGACGTGGTAGCAGTGTCACTGGCCTTTCTTGTGTTCAAATACACAAGACTGCCTAGTTCTTTATTATTTCATTTCTTCGTGGGGAAGCTCCTTCTTAGTTTGCCTTTGGATCCAGCTTAAGCAGTTTTCGCCCCCTCTATTTCCTTCTGGAAACGTCACTAGAAGGGCTGAGGGGGTTTCAGAGAGGGAGCGCTTCGGTAAGTGCTATTAGTCATGCGGTGACAGAGCTGCTCTGCCGCTACCTGTCTGCGTCTCATTAGTACTTGAGGGAAAACTTCTCCTCGGAGCAGCCGAGCGGGAGGTTTCTGTTCTGCAGTACTCGGGTTTTTGTGAAAGGGCTGTTCGGTTTCGTGCGTGGTCGCGCCGCCGCAGTCCCCGGGGTGCACGGGGGAGGTTTTCATGGCAACGCTTGGGTCACGTCTTCATTCCAAAAGCAAACAGGGTGGAAAGGGGTGTGCGAGGCCCCAGCCCGTGCTGCTGCCCGGGGAGCTGCAGAACTTGCTGCATTTCGTCTCCTCGAGCGCTCGGCCGAGGCGTCGGGAGCGCCGGCACTGGGGATCCCGGGCCTTCTCATCCACTCCATCTCCACAGGATGCTCCCCTGCTCCTGCAAGAGTGAGAAAAGCGAAACACAAGCTTGTTCTGTTTTCTTTTTCCTTCTTCTGTCAAAGCTGTAGTTATTGTGGATGCTGCCAGGTAAGCAGCACTGCTGGGACGTGCTGTTTCCTGGCGTCTGCAGCGCGTCGCGTATCGCGGCGTTAAATGTTTTATAGGTCTAGCAGCCGAGGTACCGCCGGAGCCCGGCTGAAGGGAGCAGCTGCCATCGTTTGCAGAAAATGTTTCTGCTGAAGTTCAAGTGATTCATAGGATTTTGCGAAATTTCTGACAAGGACATGGCTGGTTGCAGCTCACACGAGCTCTTTGGTGCCCCTGGCATTTTGTAGGCCTCCCTTTTCATGACAGCCCGCGGCGATTTAGGGCTCCATAGGGGCGCCTGTCAGGAGGCGATGGAAGGAGCCCTGGTGAGTCGGAGGCGGTAGGTGCCCCTAGCAGCGGGGACAGCCAGTCCTGCTGCCCTTCCTCCCCCTAAAATAGCTCTTGCCGGCAGCTCCGTGAGCGCCAGAGCACGGCGCGGGAGAGCAGGAAGCAGTGCCAGCAGGATAGCAGCAATATATTAAATAATTCTGTGTGCATGTAGTGGAGAAACAAAGGGGAAACTGCTGTTTGTTTGTTTTTTCCCTCGTGGCCTCTGAGGTTTGGGGCTTTGTAGAGTTTTAGTCACTTTCTAGCGTAAGGCTGGGATGGAGGGGCAGCATCCCGTGCCCGGCGGCTCCGTCATCCCAGCAGCCAGGGATCTCCCCAGGCTCTCTGGGAGCTCACAGTCATCTCCTGCTGTGTGGGAAGTTCAGGCTTTAACGCTGTCTGTGACAGACTTCCACTTTTGCGTTATTTGGAAGAGGGGATATTTATATTAATATTTTGGCTTTCTGTGTGATTTATTTTCTTCCCACCCAAAAGCTAATTTTGCAGTCTTTGCTGGTTCCCTTTGCCACATGTCCTGCGTATGAAAAAACTCTATGTTTTTCCCCCCTTGCAGGATTCCCGGAAGACTGAACGACAGGAGAACTCCTCTGGGAGAACTGAATTGGATCTTCACAGCTATCACGGACACCATCGCCTGGAACGTCCTGCCTAGAGGTAAGACTTGGGTGGGAGGACGGTGTTCTCAGCACAAGTGAGCAGTGCTTATTCCCAGTAGGAGGAGAAGACAGCGAGATGGATGCTCAGTAATTTCCAAAAGCGTAAGGAATGTGCATTTAAGTGGTAGACCAGAAGAGGAGCTTTTAGAAAAGGGAAAACCAACTTGAGGTAGAGAGTATTTAAGTTCTTTTTAATAGTTGTGGGTTCATGTCTTGGCAAAAGTGTTGCAGAAGCCTTGTTGCTTGAATAAACCAGTAACTAAGTAACATGTTTTGTGTTTTTTAAATGATTTTTTTACATATCGCTTTCCTAAGGTACTAGGGTTACACAGATACGCGTGTAGTAATCCCTGAAATCCCTTGGCAGATCTTTTCCAGAAGCTCTTCAGGCAGGACCTGCTCGTGGCCAGTTTATTCCGTAACTTCCTCCTGGCGGAACGGATCATGCGCTCGTACAACTGCACGCCGGTCAGCAGCCCGCGCCTGCCGCCCACCTACATGCACGCCATGTGGTGAGTGTCCCGCCGCGATTCCGCGCTCCCGGCGCGCGGGATCCCGGATCCCGAGCCCGGCGCCCGCTCTGCCCAGCACCGGAGCGATTACGGCAGGGAATTGAGAATGGAAGAGCATGTGGCGGCTTAATACCCGTCTCCAAGTGTACTTCTTCTCTACGCACATATAATTATAATGTAATTCTGTAATGCAGAAGTCTCCGCTCATCCATATAATCTTTTAGTCCGAAGAAAAAGGAAATAGTTCATCTGCTAGCTCTATTTTCACAAAGTAAAGCTAATCACTGGTGGTTGCAGAGGCACTGGGGACAGAGGGAGGAATTCTTAACTTGCATAATAGACGTAAAAGAAATGTTTTGTTGCAGAGTTTACCCACTGTCACTGTTTCTTTTTAGCTGTTGGATGGAAGCGGAGGCAGCGCAGTTGTTATAGCAAACCTTCTAAGTGCAGGTTTGACTATCAAACAAGTGTCCTGTGAATAATAATAGTAATAATTAAAATCCTTGTTTTGATTCTTGAACCAGCATGGTTAAGAATAGAAGTATGAGCTGATACAGTCAAACCAATGCAATTCCAGTGAAATATAGTTGTGTAACTTACTAAAAGGATAATAAAATGATAGGCTAAGGTAGCCAGGTTTGGTTCTTCTGTCTGTCTTTCCAAAATCCTTTTGAAAAGTTTCCTCCCTAACATTGTGGGGGAATATAAATGTAAAGGAGGCTTGAAGTGGTGGTGGTCAGTGTACAACTGCTAGCAGCATGGGCAAGTTCAGATTATTGCACGTTCCTTTTGTAGGAATGGAGGGAAGCTGAGCGAGGGCCCCAGAGCACCTGGAGGTGCAGGGGGTTAATGAGGAGACGCTTGCTGACACTAGGAAGTTGTTTTAATTATTGAAGTGTGGAGGCAATAAGAGAGATTTCTGATGCAGCAATTAGGGCGTTGGGCACCCCGATGGTGGATAAGGCCCAGCCTGGCTGCGGGCTCGTGCATGGCAAGGCACGTTCTCCCGCGCTCCGAAATAACGACTTTTGAGGAAAATTGTGTCAGTATTTGTAAACCCGATGAGCTCTCTTATCATTGTGGAGCACGAGGAACTGGGGCATTCATACGAGAAACGAATAGAAAAGGAGACAGAGAGGCTGCTCTCGTGCTGCCTGGGAGAGGCGGTTCCAGCAGGCAGGGCAGAGCGGGGCCGTTCGGGACGGGGCAACTGCAGCAGGTTGGAAACTGAACGGGGAATTTCATGGGTTGCTTCTAGCTTGCTGGTTGCCAGCGTGTTAAAAGGCTCTATTTCTGGTTCCTTAGGGGAGTGTAATTCATGCTTATTGCCAGCTTATTAAAAGCCTGTGTATCTGGGTTCCTGTGGGAATAGAATTTGACCTAGAGTTGGTGGAGCCGTCGCCTGGCTGAGCCGCAGGCCTTGGAGCGCAGGGAGCGGGTGCTGCTGCTGGTAACGGGATGCATCCGAGGAAGCGCCTCGTTCCTTGGAGGGTATCGTATGGGCAGTGCTGCTTTGAGGATTCACCCAACGAACAGAGTCCGTAGGAAAAGTCTCCTATTCCAGGTTTTCTTTCTCGCAAATCCCAAACACAAGCAAAATAGAGAGCAAACAAGCCCAGAATCCCTTGACACCCTTTCTTGGCATCCTCCAAAAAATGTGCAGTCTGAAGCACCTCTAGCAAAGGGGAGGAAAATTCCACTTTTGTCAGAGGTGGCTCAGTTCGTTATTATGAACTTTGAGGAAGGACGAATTTAGAAACTAATTTAGAGCCCACTTAAATATTTTCTAAAAATAATTACCTGGACTTATCTGACGTCTTAATTCAGGATTTTTTTTAACAATTCCGAAACTTGCGACCCCGTTTCATTACCTAGACGCGCTGTGCAGCGTCGCGGGCAGTCGGGGACGGCTGGCACCGCGTGTGCCCGGGGCCGCAGAGAGGCCGGCGCGTCGCGCCCGCTCACGGCTGCCGTTGCCTCCGTGAGAAGCTCCGGGAGGTTTCTGGGCCCTCCCGTGATCCCCGTGGCGGTTCCGTGCAGCCCCTGTGCTCGCGTGGCCGCTGCAGAGCCCGCGGGCCCGTCTGGGCGGCAGCGCTCACGGGAACGGTTCTTCCCTTAGCTTGAGCACCGCTTTCTCGTGAACCCTTACGGCTGCCCTCTTCTTGGAAGCTAAATGGGAACCCCTTGCTCCTTAGCTTTTTTGCTTATCTGTGTGATCTTTGATAATTTTCCCTAAATCTCACTTAAATGTCACATCACTGAAGGGTCTTGCTGTGCCACTGTGGGAGCACCGAGGTCGCTAGAGATGCGTCTGCTTCCTTTTGGCCCTTCTGAACACAACTGTGTAGGTTTTGACCAACAAAATTGTCATTTTCCTCAGTAAATTTGGAAGACTGCGGCTGTCCATCATCCCTCGGAGCCGAAGGGCCCCTCCTGGGAGGGAAGTTGGGAAGTTCTCCAGGCCGAGCGGGGCCGGCACCGGCCCTGTGGCCACTGCATGGTGACCCTGGGGACCAGCTCCCGGGGCTGGAGGGACTCGGCTGCGGGAGCCACTGTTCCCGTACAGGGATTAATATTAACATCTATTGATTGAGAACCTCTGCTGCTCCACGTGGAGAGCAGGTTCACCTCTTATAGAGTAAGAATAGGAGGCCTGATGCTCCGTCAGCATCTTGATCCTTGTGATGGATTGTGGCTTATATGTTACTGCTGCTGGCAGCAAGTTAAATTCATGGGCTTTGAAAAGACCCAATAATGTATTTAGAAATATTTCCTAAGCTATGTTATATATTAAAAGCCAAGTACCTTAGTTACGCTGTGGAAGAACTATGATTTGTCCGTAATAGAGCTATTGCAATAGTATATGCACCAAGCATGAGAGTCTAGCTGAAAGGGAGTCATAATATACCGCAAATAAAATAAGCTTCAAATTCTAGCTGAGAAGAAAACCGTAATATAGCAACGCAATTACAGGGAGAGAGGAGGGGGGCCTTGTAGCATCGGGGGCTGCCCGGCCGCACACCGATTGCTTAAAGAAATAACTCGCGTTTGCTACACGGAAAAATCTTAGCATGTCAGCGAGGGGGGAAAAAAGATTGTTTGAAAGGGTATTTGGAGTTGTTTGACATCTGAAGGATTAGATTACACTGCTGATTTAAACGGCTTTTTTTTTTTCTATATGTAGCCTTAGCATCTGTTTTGATGGGGAGAAATCTAGGGCAGGAGGAGCAGCGCGAGTGCTCCGGGTTGTGGCTGCCGGGGGGAGTGCTGCTACAAGCACGTTTTTGGAGCAGGAGCAAATATCCGTAGCACCAAGTGTTTTATTTTCCTTGTTAAGTAGTTGTGTCTGAGCAGCTTCCCAGGCGTCGCCGCAGCCGCAGGGAGCTCCGTGTCGCTGCCGAAGCAGGAGAGTCCGGGCTGAAATCTGCAGATTCAATCAAACGGGGCATGTTGCCGCGTTGTAGCTGCAGAAATAACAAGCAGGAAAGCCTTGCTCAAAGCCTTGGATACAAGCAGAAGTATTTAATGCAGTTAATACAGAAATACACAGCACGGGCAGGTACTGGTGCCAGTGCCCCTGCCCTACACGTGGCTTCTGCTTTTGCTTTGCTTCGCAGCGTGGCAGCCTCAGTAAGAAGTGTGAATTCTCACTAATACTTTGTGCAGCGTGGTTTAGTACAAACTATTCCTCAAAAAGGTGTGAATGGTGGAAGACAGCAATAATATTCTGTAAAATGTGCGATATAAGAATTAAAAGCATCAAGCATTGACTCAGCCAAGAAAACTTGAGTGTGAGGGAAAGCAAATCTCCTTCCTGGCGTTCTGTGGGTGCGGGAGGGCCAGGCCCTGGGACTCGGTGCCGCCCGCGCCTGGCCCAAACCTCCAAACTTGGCAGCTCCTCTGAGGGAGCAGAGTACAGGCAGCTGGATGAATTCACCTTAAATTATTAAAAGTTTATTACAGAATTGCTGTAATGGAATTGGTGTTAGGCTGGAGAGGGGAGAGATGGAGCTTGCGGCAGGGACATGACTGGAGGCTTTTTGCTGGAAGACAGGGTAAATAGAAACTAAAATGAAGACAAATTTATGAACATTTCTATCAAGGGGGGAGAGGGTTAACGATGGTTTTGCCTTGCACGGGACTGGATTTATTGCCCTGAGTGGAGAGGTGAAGTTTTTCTGCAGGAGGTACCTGCTGCGGGGCCGTCCCAGTGCCCCACACGCGGCAGCAGTGAGACCGGAGTGGTGGTTCCACCTTCTGGGAGCGACGATGGAGAAAGTCGTGGGCAGAAAGCAACAGGACCGCATGGAAACAAGGAACAACAGGGAATTCTGACCCAGCAGGACTGTGTATAATAATCCCTGGGAGCGCGAGTGTGCTAACGGTGACAGCCCGGGGCGCGCGGAGCAGTGTCCCCTGTCCGGGCCAGCTGCCCCATGAGCCGCTTTGCGCAGTGCAGAACGGCCTCCCCGGCAGCGTGAGGCTGCACCGGGGGGCAGCGGGAGAAGCAGGCGGGAAGGGCAGCGGCGGCGCCCGGGATCACCCGCTCGGCACGGAGCGCAGGGATGGAAGCGATTTCCCTGGGCGCTTGGCAAGCAGGATCTCCCCAGGGGGCGAGGCGTTTTTTTTTAGCCTGCCCGCCCAGCCGTGCCCTTCGGCACGTTGCGGCAGTCGTCGCTCCTCTTCCTCGCCATCACCCACAGCCTCCGTTTCCACTGTGGCCGGAACAGGCGTTTCCCTCTTCGGTTCCTCTGCGCATCCTCCGCAGCCCTTGTCCTTTTACCGATTGTCCGAGTCTGTTTTCGAATCCCTAAATTATCCGAATGTCTCTCTAATGCAGTTGTCCGCTTTGCCGCTGCATCGAGTCGGCTCGGTTGGGAATATCCATCACTGTGTGCAGCGCGGACAGGGAGCAGCTCTGGGCACTCAGGCCACTCGGGAAGCGGGAGCAGCAGCTCGGGCCCTTTGGAAAGGCTGCAGAGTCATTTCGAGGGGCCCAGGTGCTCGGGGGTCCCGCACGGTTCCAGGGAGCAGCAGCAATGCAGAGATTTTGCACTGCTGGTTACGCTCCTTCAAAGATGGAAGGACATTAGCTATGTGGTTACATTGATTTTTAAGGGCCTGTTTTTAGCAGCGTAAAAAGAGATTTACTTTTAACCTACTAAAATCTCTTTTCAAGTTTTTGTTTGTTCCCTCTGATAACATGTTTAAAACCTTTTGAGATATGACCTTGCAAGGCTGCTTTGGACCTTTTTATCATGGTATTAATGCTTCTTACCTAAAATGACTTTGAGGAGCTCAGCATCTTGGTGACATGCCCCTGTGATATGACGACCTGCACAGGATCTTTGCAGGCAGAGTAAGACTGGTTCTCTCTGATTTCTAAACCACTTGTGTTGCCATCTAATAAAACTTGCTCAAAGATGCTGTGTATTGGCATTTTCTAAAGTCCTAGAGATTTGCTTTAGAAGATGTTGCCGATTCCTTCAAGCACCTGAAAGCTGGAAATATCATTCTTTACTGGGAGTAAAATTATCCTTGTAATTGTACTAATTGGCTTTGCCTCTGCCTCAGCCAGGAATTAATATTTCTCTCTCAGCTCTGTGTAAACATTTTGCCTACAACATGGGTCTTTATTGAGCGTATGGGAAGCGTTTGTTGCCTGGGCTTTGATTATCTCTTGATTACCTCTTAATTATATTGTCAGTGTATTACCAAGTGGAAGGTGAGTGCTGCGGAGCAGAGGGACGAGGTCTGGGGCAGATGAAACGAGCTGCATCTCCTGAATCTGTGGAAAAATGCAGGAGTCTCCCAATTTGTTTTTCCTTCTAATTGGACAGACTGCTTTTAATTGAGAACAGCTGCCTGCTAGGCTAAGGGGACAGGTGCAACCTGTTCTAGTGGTCGCCTTTCTGTTTGATTTAGACCAGGGTGATTTAAGGTCTTATGAGATAAGGTAGCTAAAATACTCTGCATTGATTAGCACCTGGGGCTCTGCATCTGCAAGGCTTCCTAGAGGAGTGGTGCTTGCTCTGTGGGTGCTGACATGGATGGCCAGAAGCTGCAGAAGAGCAAACGTTCCTAGGGAGTGAGTTAGTTTCTGGTGTGGAAGAAACCTGCTTGGTGGTGTTTTAACCTGCTAGACTTCCAGAGTGCTGGATTTCATCCATTAAAATAAAAATGCGCAACGCACATGGAGAGAGTAGGGATAATGGTTTCTGGGGTAAAAGTACCTATTTCACAGTTTTTGTAGTGTTTTAGGAACTTTGAATATGAAATCTCTTTATTTGAGCTTAAAAACCAAGCAAAAACCGAAACGCCCACACTTTGGCGCGTGGGCAGGGTTCTAAGGAACCGTCGGTTCGGGCCGGCCGCGTGGCGGAGGGTGCAGGTTCTGCAGCCCAGGGTGTCTCGTGGCAGCCCGACGCGGTGCCGGCCCGACCTCCTCTCTGCCACGTGTCCCCACGTCCACCCGTGTCCAACAAGAGGAACGTGGAGCTTTTCTGAGCAAGTCTGATGACACCGATCGGTTCTCGTGTAACCCGAATTTGGGATTCCCTTGATGCTGCTGCTGGCTAACTTGTGATCTCTGTCACCTTTTCTGCAGGCAAGCGTGGGACCTCGCAGTTGATATTTGCCTTTCCCAGTTACCTACAATTATAGAGGAAGGAACTGCCTTTAGGGTAAGTTACTTAGTACATTGAAATGTTCTGTGCCCAGTTCAAGCCGTGATTTGAAGCCTCGGTTCAGCCCATCACCTCTGCTTGTGGAGGCCTGGGTTGTTGCAGTGAGAGGGTTTGTGTTTCTGGAAAATCATAACTCTCTAATCACCTCACATAGAGCTCGTTGTTCTCTTTAAGTTCTTTGCTGCATATGACCTGTTTGAACCTATGCCTGTATCTGAATTCAGACTGTGTTTTTGAATGAAATGTCTGTAGTTCATCTATGCTATGAAGCATTTTCAAAGTAAGAGATCACAGGAAAGGTTTCTGCTAACTGCGATTTTTTTTCTGTTTTTAAAAGTAGAAATGATGTTTGGGACTCGTACTTTGACTTTTAAAATTTCAGAGCACTCGGTCAAACGGTGTTGTCATTAAAAGGACTTACCAGCCTGAGTTTTGTAATGAAAACTTTTAACTTCTCAAAATGCAAATACCAGTTCCTAATGGAGTTATTTTCAAACAGCCGTGAAATAGAGGTTGAGGGTTATGTCCCGGCATTTTCTTAAGCAGAATATCATTAATATGAGTCACTGTTGTTTTTCCTGCTAGCTAATCTCCAAGAGCAGAAAAGTAAAGCCCTTAGTGTTACATTTGGCCAAAATTCCTCTAGCCAGAATGGAGCGCTCCTGGTATTCCTGTGACACCTAATGGATGGAAACCTTTAAGTAATAGCTGCTTTGCACCTCGAATGCCTGCTCCGCCGTAATGTTCTCAGAGACTCCCGCGCACAGAGTCATTTAAGGTCCCTCGGGAGCCGTAGGTATTTTTCTCCAGCAGTTCCTGAGCTCTCTGCGTGGGCAGCCGGTGCAGGAGGCTGTAAGGAGCCGGACACCGTGCGCTCCCGGGGTGTTGCTCCCGGGATAACGGGCATTTGGTCCCCCGGTCCTGTGATCCGGCCCCATGGATGCAGGCTCCCGGGAAGGGACCGCGATGCCCGGTGGGGGTCGCAGCCCTGGGATACGTCCGCCCCGGTGGGAGCAGCGCCGCGGCCCCGCGCTGCCGGCCCGGGATTACCGGCGTTGCCGTCCTGCTCGGCGGGATCAAGCGGGATGTAATCCCGGGGAGCGTGGCGCCCCCGCAGCACGTTCTGCGCCACGTGCCCCGTCCTGCTGCTCCTCCCGGCTCCGTGGGAGTCGGGCC